TGCCTGGGTCCGCGATTGTGATTGGTTGGGAGGAAGCAGTGACTAGCATAAACCTACATGCTAGGCTACAATGAGAAGGAAGGAAAACTGCGTTTATTTTTTATCAAACTTTTATCGACCCTCTTTTTTTCTATTGCGCCACACGTCTATCGATCGATATATATCGTTATTGAATTATCGCCCAGCCCTATTAGATAAGCCATAATGAAGCACAGTGGGTGACCAGTGCTATGCAGATAAAGTAGCAGCCATTCTAAATGGCCCTTCCCAGTCAAACGCCAGCCGAATGGCAGCCCACTTCCCTGCATTTCACAGCAAAATATCCTCCAACGTCCAGCCACTGGCCTTCTCCTAGGCATGCTTTTTTTTTTTTTTTTATCTCTAACTCCACCCTTTCACTGAATTTCACAGTCTGACCAGGAGATGGTGCTTCTCTTTAGATCTTAATGTCCACAAATCATGACAGAAAGAATGTTTTAGATGTTTAAAAGGAATTGTAGGGGAACAGCCAAAGACCAGCGAAAGACTAGCCCAGGACCAGCCAAAGACCAGCCAAGGACCCATCAAGGATATTGGGGAAATTTTGAATGGCTACTACTATAGTTGTGCCATTGACAGATCTTACAGAGAAACTTCTCATTGTCACTGAAAGTTGAGTGAGGTGTTCTGGACCCCGGGGGCCGGGGCCTTAGTTGTAGTCAATTCTTTTGAGGCATTGACTTAGTGATGCCTAAAGGTTGAAATATACTCCCGTTTTGGGTTGTCGCACCGGTCTGTGCGTGCCGTGCGTGAGCCTATACAACCGCTGTACCCTTTTCTAGTTGACGCTGATGTAGGCGCAGTACTCTCAAAAACCACAGCTGGGCATCGATCAACATAAAGAGTGGAAACGTAGAAAAAAAGAGAAGAAACAGTTGAAGTCCCACTTCCGAAATAGCCTAGCGCAGTATTGTTCATTTAAGAATTGATGATTATTCAAGAATAATAGGTGTGTTACACAGAAATATACGATGGAATAAAACGGCAGGTTTACCTGCTGCACACAGAGAGACGTAACGATGGGGAAACCAGCCTGCCTGTGAAGCCATACAGACCTTTTTCTTTTTTTTTTTTTATAACAGTTTTATCACAAAAAATGCTGCATTTATTGTATACTATGTGTAGTTGCATCAGACTTTATTTATACTGTATGTGATGGAAATAGAAAACTAAAATCCTATAAACTAATAATGAACTCCCCTGTTTGCTTTCAGTCGCTGAATAAACCGGAAGAACTCTGCATTTAACCACATTGTTCCACTGGAACCTTCTGCACCATTTGACGTCAGTAGAGGCAGATTTGTTAATGGAGAACAACTTTATATCCTCACATTTGGGACGAGGCTGGCACACGAGGCCGAGTTACAAAAGTTTAGAGGTGCGCGACTAAGCAAAGCATCCTGTGCGTCATGCAGTGAGTATAAACCATGCTTAAAAGTGGAGCTGGTGAGGCAGCAGAGGACAGACGACTCTGTATGTCTGAATGAATTGTTTTTAAACTGAAACACAGGACTATGATGATGTCTGTACCAGTGACGTAGGCAGGAAAACGGCCACCATTCAACCACTTTGGCAGCAAAAAGTTGATTTTGGGGGTGAGTTACACTTTAATACTGCTGCGGATTTGAATTGCCACTTTTAAAAATGTTAAATGTCAAAGATTTAAAAGTTTAAACAGACATAACATGTTTAGGATTTTTTTTGGTACTGGAAAAAAAAAAAGAAAAACATATTTAAGACAAATGCTGAGAACAAATCTGTTTTAAAAATCCACCAAACAGATGATCATTAAAAGGCTTTTCTGGTCATACTGACTATCTAGAGCCAGATGAACCCAGCTCCACTTTACAGACACACATTCATTAACACACAAGCAGATGGATGTGCCGCTCGGTGCCTTGCCAACAGGCACATCAGCATTGGCAGGACGTAACCAGAATCGTACTTAGATCTCACCTCTAAAGGAGATTTGATGCCTTGCAGGCTGTGCTCTGAACCCTCTGAAGAGGCATTGCAGCGCCCCCAGTGGAAGGTGATGCGACCCACTTTGAACTTTGACCTCAGACCTCCTCCACTGACATAGAACTCTCCATCCAGATTGACGGCCACTGATATTAGAAAAGACAAAGATGTCCTGAAATAATCTGACTTCAGAGGATCATATGAATTCATGGCAAAGATTCTTTGATGGAACAACAGAAATTAAACAAAATGTCTAAAAAGCAGAAGAAGAAGCAAAAACAAATATTCTCTCAATCATTTTAAACAGAACAGCATAAAAAAAAATCCTCTTTTGGGGCCTTTCTGAATAATTATCCGTCTTTAGAGTTTATCCTAATATTACAAACTGGTATTAGGG